TGGAATAAGTTAGAATATTTATGGGGTGCTTGCAGACTCTTCCTTCCTCTGCGTGGCTGCTTGGTGGTCTTTCCAAACGCTCAGCTCTCACATGTCTCCAGCTGCATCTCAGGGCTCTGCGTCTCAGGGCTCCGAGTCTCAGGGTTCCGAGTCTCAGGGCTCTGCATCTCCTCAGGGCTCTGCATCTCCTCAGGGCTCCGCATCTCCTCAGGGCTCCGCATCTCCTCAGGGCTCCGTGTCTCAGGGCTCCGTGTCTCAGGGCTCCGCATCTCACGGCTTCGCATTTCATGGCTCCGCATCTAAGTCTTGGGGCCATTTTTGGCCTGTGTTCAATAACCTGAATCATCCCACTGTAAGAATCAAGTGGGTATGGTGGCCCAACACATTTTAAACACTGAATGGAACCACATGGTCTTGTAAAGTCCCCCAAGAAAGGACGTTTTCTGATTTGACACGACACACACAAAATCTCCAGCCAGTCTTCTCCCCTATTCACTTGTTGTCAACTTGACACCTGGAAAGAGAGAAGCTTAGCTGAAGGATTTATTGCCTTCTTTGCACAGCCTGTGTGCATGTCTGTATGGTGTTTTCTTGATAAGTGATCGATACAGGAGGATTTAGATCACTCTGGGTGATTCAGTCGCTAGGCATGTGGGCTTGAGCTGTATAAGAAAGATAGCTGTGCAATCTAGGAAGAGCGATCCAATAAACCATGTTCCTCTACGGTCTCTGCTTCATCTTTGCCTCGAGTTCCCTCCATGGCTTCATTCAATGATGAATATAACCTATCAGCCAGGTAAATCTTTTTTCTCCCCAAGTCGCTTTTGCTCTGGGTGTTCATCACAGCAATAGGAAACGCACTAGATGAGTATTCTTGGAAGCCTCCAGTGGCTCAGCTTGGGGTTTCTCAAGTGGCAGCCACCACGAGTGTTGTTTTGCTCTTGCAGAATGCTTCTTCCTGCTGCGTTGTCTATAGTTTCTGCATGCAACTTCCATTTTCGCCTTGGGCTGTTAGGTCACCATTTAAACCATTGCAGGACCCGTATCTGTGGGCAGTGCATTTGCTTCCGCTATGGTTTCATTGCAGTAGGCTGATTTCTTATGTTCTTCACCGGTCTGTCCTATGACCTGAAATCATGGCTCCTCAATGTTCTAGCTACTCAGATTGCAAACAGGCTCATTTTTTCTTAACTATGCATCATCTAGCAATGAGCATGATGCTTCACATGCACTCTGGTGAGCAAAACTGAGTGGAATATTTATTTGGCTTAATTGAGATGCTGGGACGTTTGGCTATGAGATTATTGAAATGTATGTCTATGATGCACGGTGGCCAGTCGTGTCCTGCCGCCTTTATCTGCTTGACTTCTAGACTTCCCTAGATGTGTTAACTTTGTGTCCATGATAATGAGTCAGTTTCAAAACTAGCTTATCTGAAAAGCAGAACAAAGTCAACTTCCTCCCAGAGGCAGCACGTGGATACAGAGTAATCGCCGAGGGGCTCCAGGCTGTAATCTGTTAGCCTGTGGCACCAAATGAGAGCCATCACAGGCCAGTCCTGCCCGGCAGTTTCCAAGATTCATCCCACGAGATGATTGTGAGGTCTGATTACTTTAAAACAGCCTCCAGCATAGTGCACATAAAGTACTTAAGATGCTCACTGCATGCTCAGTGCGCATGAGTGATCAAAATAACAATCTTTGGGGCAGCAGAGACAGACTTGCTGTCAAGAGCACCGGCTGCTCTTCTACAGGACTCAGGTTTGATTCTCAGCACCCACATGGTGGCTCACAACCACCTGTAATTCCACTCCCAGAGGATCTGACACCCTCTTCTAGCTTCCCTGGTCTCTAGGCATATAGTGGATTCTAGGCAAAATACCACCTATACACAGCAATGTTAATAAATTAAAAATATTAGTGTTTATTATTGTTTATTTTAGGATGTACAGTAAATGCTCATTTTTGAGCAGGACTAATTGGTGTTTTGTCACTCAGGACAGAGATGAGAACTTTATTCTTCCTTATAATTTGTCAAGAAACTGGAACACATGTATAGCTGGATTTTTTCAAACAATGATATAATTTTACTGTTTTCATGTCTAAATTAGATATATTGACAATATATATCCCCCTGACACAACAGTTGATATGTGATTATTTTTCATGTGTTCAGTGTTAAAAATGTTTGAATTAGACAAGCATGGTGGTATACGCCTTTCATCCCGGCACTTGGGAGACAGAAGCAGGGGGATCTCTGTTGTTCAAGGCCATCCTGGTCTACACAGTAAGTTCCAGGACGGCTAGGCCTATATAGGGAGACCAAGTCTTAAAACCAAACAGAACAATTGTAGTAATGTTTTACTAAAGTAATAATTCCTTCCATGGAAGTCTAAAACTTCATCTCTAACTTACAATCTAAGTTTGGAGAGATAAGTTCCCAAGAAATATAGAAGCTTGACTTCATCTTTGCCCTTTGAAATAGTTATTTTTGTTGATAACATTTGGTCAGGACAGAATGGCCTTTTTCTGGGTAAGACTCTGAGTCAAAGGCTCAAAGAATATACGGCAGAAAAATTGGTCCACCTGCTCCCCCTGCGTCTCTAATTTAGTTAGTGAGAGTCACAGGTGGGTAAACCTTTGGAAGAAGATTATTTGAAAACTATTTAAAACTTTCATATTTCCAAAAATGCATTTGTGGCCATTTCGTAGCTAAAGACACTGACAGACTTGGCCCAGCTCCTAATAAAACAGCTCAGCAGCCATGAGAATTGAACTGAGATGACTCAGAGTCTAGGACCATACTGCATCAGATCAGCATCTGTGGCTCTCTACAGCTAAGCATCTGTTAGGTGATGAAGTTATCTAGTGAAATGTGTGTGCGTATGTGTCTCTCTCTGTGTGTGTGTTTTGTCTGCATGTGCATTGCTTATATTCCTAGTGTTTGCAGAGGCCAGAAGAGTGTTGGAAATTTCTGTAGAACTGGATTTAGGGTTGATTGTGAGCTGCCATGTGGGAAGCAAACTTAGTCCCCTGCAAGAGCAGCCAGCGCTCTTAACAGTTGAGCCATCTCTCTAGCTCCTTGTAAATGTTTTTATCTTAATTTAATAAAAATATCTCGGAGGCTTCCAAACTTAGCTGAAGGGCTGTGATTTCAGTTAGCAGGTAAGGTGCTTGCTGTGAAATACAAGGATGCTGAGTTGGGATCCCAGGTATTCTGGAAAAGCTGGGTGCTGTCACACACACCTGTGATCATAGCACTGGGCAAGTGGAGACAGGAGCATCCCTGGGGTCTTCTTACCTGCCAGGTTAGATAAATCAATAAGCTCCAGGTTCAGTGAGAGACTCTGACATGGAAAAATAAGGCAGAGTGACTGGGCACACTTGACATTGACCTTGGCCTCCATGTACACATGCACACTCATGGGTGCATGCACAGAAACATGACACACTCACATACGATGTTGTCTGGTTTTAACATATATATATATATATATATATATATATATATATATGTATGTATGTATGTATGTATATGTATATGTACACAAAGAACAATGTACTATTTCAGTACATGATGTAATGTGCACACCAGGGCAAGCATCTCAGTTTCCTCATAGGCTGATCATGTCTCTGTACTGATTATTAATGGTTTTTAGCTTCTTTATAGCACACAGTTGGGTCTTCATTATCTGGTCACTACTCTGTGCAACAGGACCCCGGAGCTTACTTCTCTTGTGTGATTGAAAATGTAACCTGGCTACACTTACTCCATGCTTTCTTCACCCCCACTCTCCCGGCTTCTTGGACCAGCCATTCTGATCTCAGTGTCTGGAATGACTATTGACATTGTGTAGGAGGGGCTGTTCACCTAACACACCATCTTCCAGCCCCACCCAGTTTATTACGATGACAGAATATCACTCCTTTTTATGGCTGAATAGTGTTCTGTGATGTATAGGCACCACATTTTCTTTATTCGTCCCTCAGTTTATGGGTACTTACATTGCCTCTAAAGCTTGGGGTGCTGCATTCATTACTCAGTTTATGGGCACTTAACACTGTCTCTATTTCTTAGGGTAGGGTACTGTATTTGTTCATTAGTTCATCAGTTTATGGACGTTACCTCTATTTCTTGGGGTATTACATCAGTTCCACCATTTATGGACTCTTATTTTGCCTCTATTTCTTGGGGAGATTGTGAACAGTGCTGTAACAGACATAGTGATACAAACATCTCATCAACATACTGGCTTGGTTTTCTTTGGCCATCTGGCTAGGAATGAGATGCCGGGATGGAATAATAGTTTTATATTTAATTTAAAAGTATTTTTTAAAGATTTATTTATTTTGTATGGATGCTTTGCCTGCATGTATGTCGATACATCACATACATGCCTGGTGCCCATGGAGATAAAAAGAGGTCATTTGATCTCCTAGACCTGGAGTGACAAACCACTATAAGCCACAGTGTTGGTCTGGGAGCTGAACCCTGGTCCACTGCAAAGCAATAAGTCTTCTCAGCTGCCATCTCTCAGTGAGCCGTCTCTCCACACTTTAACTTTTCAAAAGAAAGCTACCTACTATTTTTGTAGCTGCTGTGCTATGTATATGCTTTCACATATACATACATGTATACAGATACATATGCACACACGCAGACACACAAAATTACTAGTATGTTAGAGACAACTACTACTTACTTACAAACTTCTATTGTTAAATTCTCAGGTGCTTGTACAGATCTTGATATTAGTAAGTGACTTGAGATTTGTTATATTGAAATTATTTACCCCATGAATGCCAACAAATGCCACAAGTCAATGCTGTTCCTTTTTTTTTTTCTATTTGAAGAGACAATTACGCAACACAAGATTGCAGGTGCCGTCAGTACTTATTTTAATGAAATAAAGTGCTGTCATCTTGGAAGATGGTGTTTGTCCTGAAGTTTATGGGTAAAAATGGTACTCTAATTTGTTCTTTATCCTTCTGCATTTTCAGGGATCCGGAAAGACCGCCGAGGAGGGAGAATGCTGAAGCACAAGCGTCAGAGAGATGATTTGGAAGGCCGAAATGAAATGGGCGCTTCAGGAGACATGAGGGCCGCCAACCTTTGGCCAAGCCCTCTTGTGATTAAGCACACTAAGAAGAATAGCCCTGCCTTGTCCTTGACAGCTGACCAGATGGTCAGTGCCTTGTTGGATGCTGAACCACCCATGATCTATTCTGAATATGATCCTTCTAGACCATTCAGTGAAGCCTCGATGATGGGCTTATTGACCAACCTGGCAGACAGAGAGCTGGTTCATATGATTAACTGGGCAAAGAGAGTGCCAGGTAAGAATGCTGAACTCTACTTCTATATTATGAGTGAACAACTTTTCAACAGTTGGCTGTGGTACTGTCGGGGCAAAGTAGTACTGTGCTGTGTGATTAGGGAGAAGGCTATACTGGGGTTTGTCAATTGTCAATATTAACCCACTATATTTCTCTTGAAACCTAGGAAATAGCCTTTAAAAATAAATGTCCAGCAGACTAAAATCTTGGACGTACTATTTTTGGCCAGTCTTCTTAAAAGACTTGGATGAACACTATATGCCACACGCAACTATGTACTGTCATGCAGATATCACGTATTAAAAGTACTTAATGCTCAGGGATCTATGGAATTGTTTTTATTTCTAATCCTATCCTTCAAAACACCTTTATTGAGAAGCAATTTTTCCATAAATAATCTCTTTGTCAAATATTGGCACACAGTAAGGGGCCGATAGTCTATTGGTAGAATGCCAATTCTACAATTACTTATTCCGTTTGTTTTCTGCATGGTTTGTTCAGAGAAACAAAAATACAGTGGCAAAACAAATGCAACAATGTCCTGGGGAGCTTTTAGAAAGTTCCAGAAGCCAAAGCGACACTCTGCTTCTCTTATTAGCCTCTCAAGTGCTGCTTTTATGGCTCTTGACTGTTCTTGTTTAAGAGAAGGATCCTAGCTATGACGAGAACAAGACTGTCCCATGCCTCAACTAATGGATTTCATATGCAGAAGTCTGTGCTGAAGCAAGAAGGGGTGGAGTCTGTTTTCTGGCTTATAGATTAAATCAATGGGGGGATGTAAATATAGCTTTTTCTCCTTGGGCTTCAATAGATCTGAAGGTATTTTCTGTGACACATGGATATGTTATCTTTTTTTAAAAATAAAATTAATATGCATGTGGTATTTGGGGCCTTGATTTCCAGAGTCACTGAGAGACTCTAAGTTAATGTGGATCTCCCCTTGGGGAATCTTAATGCATTTGCATAAATCCACATATAAACCTGTTGTACTTTGAGTAGGTAGGCAGTAGTATAATGATCCAAACTTATTACAGAGCATCTGTTTGGGTGGTTTGGGTAGGAGAGATCAGAGTATATGAAAAAGTAGGATAGATAGAAAATAATTCAAGTTTTGATGATAGTTCTATTGGGCAAAAATTCTTGACCATCTGAGGAACTGAATATTTTATTGAGTGCCTAGACATTTTAGCATTGTTTCATGAGACAGATACAAATACCTCAGGATTGCAATTATGTGAGACTATATGTTTTTTCTCGAAGTTTATATCTGTTTTTATACTTTGAGTGAAAAGAAAAGAAAGAACTCTACAAAAGATTTAATGGTCATACCCCTGAGAACCAGTTCTGGGTTGCTGTTAAGTTTTTATAATTCTGTAAACATATTTCTTATGAGATCCTGAAAATACTAGTTCCAGAGCCAAACTATGGATATAGCTGAACCTAAGCACATATTTTTCATTTTAATCTGTAAAGTCACATCTCACCATTTTGTAATTGATATTTTGTTGTTTATACTGTGGTTTTATGTCAGGGCACTTCCTAGATAGTCCTGGCAGATGAGGACTATCCTTATCATCCTGCTTTAGCCTGAATAAGTTCAAGTATATTACTCATTGACGGAAGATTTATGAAAACAATCTCTATTTAGTATTAAAATAGAAGTCAAGGGTAAAAAGATGCTATGTTCAAGTTTAGTTATTCCATTGTTAAACTCAGAATTAGACATGTGTGCTAATAAAATATCTAGGAAAACTACTCTTAAATGTCTTTATGCTAATTCAAAGTGCCCAGCATCTTTGGGATAAATTATATTTTGTTTATTGGTCCCTTAGAATAAAAGAATTATAGAAGCATAATGCAATTATGTACAGTCATGTGCCCTGTAACAACATTTTGCATTGCAACAGGCCTTGTCAATGGTGTTAGGTCTGTAAGGTCTATGGGTCAGAGCGAGGGCAGGTGTCGTTGATGGTGGTCTGAATGTTATATAGGATGGAGGCAGAGCTCATTGGTGGTGGGTCTATGTGTTATATGGGTTAGTTTGTAGAGAATTAACAGATCCACCCAGGCATGCATTTCTCTGATGTATCCCTGTCATGAAGTGACACAAGGTTTTCTGTCTCTCTGTCTATGTCTTCCTCTCTGTCTCTGTCAGTCTGTCTGTCTGTCTCTGTCTCTCTGTGTCTCTCTGTCTCTGTCTCTGTCTCTGTCTCTGTCTCTCTCTCTCTCTCTGTGTGTGTGTGTGTGTGTGTGTGTGTGTGTACCATTAAAATGCAGCTATTGTAAGCCTAAAGCCTACTTGTCTGGGAGAAACAGAATGAAAATAGCTATTGATTTAAAATGACAAAAAAAAAAAAAAAAAAGACCAAAGACCTTCAGGAGGAACTCTGAAGATGACTGTGGAAATTCACAGTGGAAGTTGAATTTCCAAAAGTTTTTATATACCCAAATACCTCTGTCATTTAAAACAATAGTTCACACTAAAGAGCTGGTGTAGGCAATGCCACATTTATGAGGTGATAATTTAGGGATGATAATGGCAATTTCAAAAAGAGAAAGAAAACCATGGCTAGGAAGGACAATAGCAACGGAACCAGTGAAGTGATTTGGATTTGGAAGAGGCCAGAGGGGGATTTAGGGAGGCTTGGAGGGAGGAAACAGAGGTTGGGAAAATGATGTAATTGCATTGTGCTCTCCAAAGAAATAATTTAAAAATATACACGATGGGAGACGATGAAAACTGTAAAGGGTTAATGTTTCCTATCGCCATGTCTAAAGAGCCGTGCTGTGAGAAAAGGGATGCCTCTTATCTTTCCAGGTCTGCAGAAAACTTTTAAAAAATAGTTTTATTGTTTTGACGTTTAAGTATGGCTATATTATTTTCTCTACCCTTTCTTCCCTTCAACACCTCTCATTCCAAATTCATAGTTTTTTATTCTTTAATTGTTCTTAAGTCAATTTATCATCTATCTATCTATCTATCTATCTATCTATCTATCCATCCATCCATCCATCCATCCATCCATCCATCCATCCATCTATCTATCTATCTATCTATCTATCTATCTATCTATCTATCTATCTCTGTCTATCTCTGTCTGTCTGTCTGTCTGTCTGTCTATTATCATCTACGTATCTGTCATCTACCTACCTATCTACTTACACCTAATATTTGCACAACCTTCTCAATCTCTATACTGTTTCTTATAGATACATGACTTCAGAGCTGACCACTTGGCATTGGATAAACAATTGGGAATCTATACCCAGGGGAAGACTATTTGTTTGGCTATCAGCCTTAATTCCATAATTGCCTGTAGTTCTTAGTCTAGGGTGGAAACTCAGTGAGTAACATTTCCTTTTTCCATGTTAGCATGTCTATTGGTGTCTTTGTTGTTCTTCAGGTCTTGTTTAGGCAGCCATATTGTTGAGACTTCATGGGTGTAGCTTCCCTGTCATTTTCAGGAGACAACCTCACAGCAGACCTGTGGTTCCTCTTTCCATCTCCATGTGTTCAATTTTCCCAGACTCCTATGTTCAGTAATTATGTTGTGGAAGCATCAGCTGGGGCTGGGCACCACACAGTCACTTGTTCTTTGCATTTTGATTGGCTGTGGTTTTCTGTGATGGTCTCCATCTGTCACAAAGAGCAATCTCTTCGATCAGGGGTGAGAGGGCTACGCTTCTCTGTGAATATAAAGACAAATATTTAGAAGGCAGTTAGGAATGATGTCGGATTAGAAAAGTGGTGGTAGTGGGATCTCCTCCAGTTGGCTAGAGTTTTATACCAGGCATGGTTTTCTTCTTGTTGAGCATGTGTTAAATCCAAGTAGAGAGCCATGATACGTGTGCCACTATGTGACCATTAAGGTTATTGTGCCATGCTGGTCATTGTTGTGGTTCATAGGTATCACAGCACATTAGGACTACTGGTGACCTCCCTCTTTTGGAAGTTTGTAGGGTGCTTCTGGTTCCCTAAAAGCTTTTCCCCAGGGAGGAGCCTTTCAGGTCAGATCCAGCTTGGATCCTTTGGATCCTGTGTCTGAAGCACATGGTAGCTTCAGCAATGGGTACTTACTGTCAACTTCTGAGCGACAACCAGGGATAATGGCAATAGTCTATCATGTTTTGTGACTCTCTCAGACCCCCCTGACCAAAACTCTAAAGGAGGTTTCTTATGCCTGGTATTATAATTTTTGTCAGATAGACTGTTAGTATTGTGAGTCTCTATTGGAAATTTTCACTTGAAGCATATACGTATATGCAGATTTACTTTTACTTAACTCAATTTTAGGTAAATAAGTAGTAGATTCTTATAGATTTTTTTCAGACATCTTTACTGTTGTTTCAGTCTCTTCTGCCTCCTTCTGTATTGACCTCTAATTCCCTCATTAAAGCTCATTCTTTTCCCATTTCCCCTTTCAAATCACTTGCATCCTACTCTTTGTATCTCCCTCTCCAAGACCCCCCTTGACTCTATTATCCCTTCTTGCTTTCTTGGTTTCTGTAATTACTCTTGGTTATACACTCATACATGAAGATCTGGGGCTAGGAGCCACTGAAGAGAAATTGAGTGCACAATGTTTGAGAAAGACAAAAACCACAGGGTGGTTTTGAATCTTAATGTTTAGCTGTAGAACCTTGCTCTTCATTGTGTGCACGGTAATTCTTCAATAATAGCTATTTTTAGTGTAACTATGGAGGGAAGTTTGCTTTAATTTTTCATTTTTACTTATTCTTTGAAGACTTCACTCATGCATATACTATCTGGAAGATATCTACCACTCACCACCCCTTCAACTCTTTCCAGGACCCCCACACATCTCCCTCCCAATTTTACAATCACCTTTTATAGTAAATTGATGAATTATTTTAAGCCACTTAGCTCAATTAGTGTAGCCCATATGCAACTGGTTATGGGGCTTTACTCATTAATGCATGAGAAACTGACCAGTGACCATATTCCTTAAAGAAAAATGACTTTCTTTTGTGACAGCTAT